TTTCAGCACTAGGGTGTTACAGTTACTCCTTTGTCATTGATGTCTTGTCCCACTGAATACCTTTTGTTCAAATCTAATGGAAATTATTTTGCAATTCTTGAGTTTGGATCTAATGCTTATTTGCTTAATTTTTCATTGAATGTTAGTATTAGTCTAGATTTTTATTTGGAGGACATGCTACTTAATCGAGATACTCCAGATCCTCCTATTTTGTTATCCAGTGTTTCTATAGGTGAAATTGTTTCTTCCTCAGCACTGGCTCTAATTCTTATCTTTTCACTTCAATTGCATATTTCGGGCCAAATAGATGATGTGCTATGTGACCAAATTTACATTGCTACAGATGGAGATTCTTGCATTTATTCTTATCGATGGAAAGATATTGGTAGTTCTTTCATTCTAGATGATGCATTCTGTCATCTTCATGCTGCTCTTTTAGGGTACATCTGATTTGAAGACTCTCTGGAGGAGAGTTTTTCTCAACCAAAGGAGAATGATGGGGATCGTGTAGGAATTGGATATATATTATATATTAATTATGATAGTTATTTAGATATTTTTAATATTTATCTTTTAAGTAATTTCTTTTAACTTGTGAGAGTTTATTTGTCATTATTTATTTGTTTTAAGTTTTAGTTTCCATATATAAAGGGATGCATGTAAGAGTTTTATTTAGATTAGACTTTGATTATTATTGAATACTGATTTTGCTTCATTCTCAAATTCTTTCTCTTTTCTCATCATTTTCTTCTTTTCTTCTCATCCATACTTTTTCTTCTCTTCTCATCCCTAATACTTATTCTCTTCTCATCCCTAATTCTTCCCTTCATAGTCCACATCATCGGGGCTCCCCATGGTTTAGTAAAAAAGAGGGGATATTTTCTCTTCATTCGGGGTTCTCATTTATTATGAACTCAAAAGTGTAAGACTGATTAGTGAAATCTTAAAAATGTCATACAATGAATGATCGACTATTCCATTTGTGCTTTCAGCATATCGGTGATGCAAATATATGGTTTCTATGTTTTAATTGGATACCAATTGCTTGGACGTCTTTGAAAGCCTCAAAATGACTTGTAGAAATAATAGCTATTTTCTTAAGAATAGAGATAAGGAAGGGAAATAGTATGGCTCTGGTGTAAAAAGGAATACCCCAAGATTGGTCTACGATCAACTGTATTAATGCATATCTTTTGACACTAACTATATTCTATATTAAAATCAAAAATTTTTTAGAAAGAGAGAGACATCAACTCATCTATGTTAGATATGCTGACGATTTTTTTTATTGTAAAAAAAGGGAGGGGCGCGATAAAGATATGAATATATTACCTTGACAACTATCTATGTCACATTCTCTTACCTTGCTACTAAATCTCTAAACCATTGAACTTAAACCTAACCTTTTGATTGATGTGGGAAAATGAAGGGATCAGACCAGTAGCATATGTAACTATATTAAAGGACTAGATTACTAGCATGCCATTTAAAGACATTTGAGTGCCATTAGCTACAAATGCAATAATAGATGAGGAGAGATAATAAATACAAAAAAGGAAGAATCACAAGTCATGTGATGTATGACACTCGAGTTAAAGACACAAGCGGTCTGATATATACCTGAAGGACCTAAAGTGAATGAACCTTTCGAGAGATATGTTGTAAAAGCACCAGGTTGATGGAGAGAAGCTTTTGCAATTGATCAACAATCAAAATTAGATTAGGAGCTGATGAGGAGGACTCATCCCCTGGTGATGCAATTGTTGTTATGTGACTCTTTTTTGGGCTTAAATTGTTGATTTAGTGACCCCCTAACATGCATATTCAACTCAATCCCGATACTTATTTTGTGAATTAGAAGTCACTTGAGGGTACAATCAATATAGTATGATTACGCAATGAGAGAAGACTCTTCCTAAAAAGGGTCTTAAGACGGACTTCTTCAGCTAAAAACTCATTCACCATTGCATCGGAAATGGACAGCGATGGAGAGTCGAAACACGAAATCCCTTAAAGTCAACTTTGAGTGCCATCAAAAACTATACCAGCCGCTACTTCTCTCTAAATGTGCTATATACTTTATGAGTAGAACTCTTGTATATTCTTATCACCTCAGTGAGCAGCACAAATTTCATGCTCCAGCTAATACCTCTTTGCATAGTTGGACTAAACAAACAATATAGCTAAATAATTCAAAATTTCTTTGGTTGTGTTAAACTTAACCAAAAGAACACCAATAGTCGAATTAACTTAGCAGTTAATCCAAGTAATGATTTTAGGGCTGTTGATTTCCCAATTGTTCTTTAAATTAGTGTACTCCGTGTCCTTAGGATCTGTTGGAGCTTGCAAAATACCAATAATATAAACCCAATAAGAATTTTGTCATATAACATTATACTAATAACTTGAAGAGAATTGCAGTTTTTACTTACCATAATTTCAACAAAGGAGTCAAAACCCACAATAAAATAATGAAAAATTTGGAGGCCGGTCCCCCTATATGAACTTGTTTAAACTTAAGGCTGTCAAGGAAACTTATTTGTTATGAAGTCCATTTTTTGTCAATTTTACCATACTATCTCTTCCCTTTAGAAGTGAAATAAAATTTAAAATTAAAAACTCCTAAATCTTAGGGGTTTGACTAATATTAAAACCTGTTCTCTCTCATATCTATCCATATCCATATATAGATTAAGAGTTTGATTAACATTAAAATTTTTCCTCTCTCTTATCTATCTATATATAGGTTATATATATGTATGTGTGTGTGTATATATATATATATATCATTTGGACACAAAAAATAATACATTTAAACACAAAAAATAGTAACATTTAAACATAAAAAAAATTGAAACATTCAATATTAATATTTTTAAAAAATAACAATAGTAACATGTTCAACAAAAATATTAATATGTTCAACAAAAATAGTAACATGTTTAACAAAAACTGTAACATACTTAACAATAATTGTTTCTCTCAAATTCAAACTCAAAAAATAGTACCATTAAATATAAAAAATAGTAATATTCAAAAAAAAATTAGTAAGATTGAATATTAATATTTAGGAAAATAATAGTAGTAACATGCTCAAAAATAATAGTACTAGAACAGTGGCATACTCAATAAAAACAGTAACATAATAAAAAAAATAGTAACATGAATTTGAATTTTACTGTTCAAATTCATAGTAAATTTTTTTTGTATTTGAATGTTTCTATTTTTTTTTAATGCTACTATATATATATATATAGATAAGAGAGAGAAATTTTTTTTAATGTTAGTCAAACTCTTAATCTATATATGGATATAGATAGATATGAGAGAGAAAAAATTAACTTCTTTTTTAAGGAAGAGTATTTTTAAAATAAAAAACAAAAAGTAGACTTAAGTCATTACATATAATTTTAAACATGGACTTAGTCACTTATAAGTTTCCTTGTAGGACTTATCTCCAAACAAATACATCTAATGGGACTCACTTCTAATTTTCACTAAAATAATAGTTGAATCAACAATTATCAACCAGTCCAATAACCAAGAATAAGATACCAGCTCAAAAGCCCAACACCCAAATCAAGCAGTCCCATACTCAAACTATAACAACTAGGGGTGCAACTTGGGTTGGGCAACCCAATTTCAACCCAAAAAAATTAGGGCTTGAGAAAGAATTTTTAACACTTGGGTTGAGCTTGGGTCAAAAAACTCAAACCCGAATTCAATTTGGATTGGGTTCGGGTTCACAGGTTCAACCCGAACCCGACAAATTAAAAAAAAAATTTATATATATATAAAGCATTGACACTGATTTTTTATTTTGTTCTATAGTTCTTTGTCTGTCTAAAATATTCATTTTTATTTTTGTTCTAGCATTAACACTGTTAAAAACTTGGTTAAAGTTATTGGTTATTAATTTAGGTGAATATTATGTAATATATGTATTAGGTTTACAACAACAAATCTATTTTGGGCTCTACTCGAATTCAACTCGAATTGAATCCGTAAAGTAACCTGAAATCAACCCGAAATCATTAATTCAAATTCAACTCGAACCCACCCAAATTAAACTCAGGCAATACTCAGGTTGAGTTCATTGACCTGAGGTAAGGTTAGGGTTAAAGATTATATATCTAGGGTTGGACTAGGGTTAACCGCCCAACCTGCCCGAGTTACGCCCCTAATAACAACATGCAACACACCCAAAAACATATATTTTTGATGACATCAATAGTGAAATTATCATGCAAAAACATTCAAAATTGTCATGGTCAACTGTAAGCGAATATATGCAAAAACTTCAAAAATGTCCACCTTGATATACTAATGTTCCTGACAAGATGTGAAATTCACAAGATTAATCACGCTTCTCAACGTAAAATTTCTCCCAATCGTTATTTTAGTCTTTAAAGCATTTTTTTTTTGTCAATTCATCTACTACCATTCCACAAAATGGCTAGATTCAAATCCAACAAATAATGATCAATAACATTTTCTAGGAAAAAAAAAAAAGACGCAATGGACTTGGTGATAAAATGACATTTTCTATAAAATATTTTTTTCTTAACAAACTCAGATGAATTAGAACTTGTCGAAAGTTGGGGGGCCAACACGATTTTAAAACAAAATGAACATAACCCAATTGATCACCTCGATTCTTTAGAAGATTTTACCAACCAAGAGGTCAGTGGATCAATCATCTACCCCCTCTTCAAGGGTTCACTTGTGCTTCATTGGAGCTTCTCTTATCCATGTGCGGGTGATTGTAATAGTGATCAGCAGCAGCAAAAGTATGTAAAAAAATGTGCCTAACATCCCCTCTATGCCAACCATAAAAGGTACAGACGTTAACAAGAAAACAACCCCATTTCTAGTGCCTACTCACATTACAATATGATACACCAGAGTTTTGTGTCCAGAGGCTAGTACAATACAACATTAATGATTAGAGCCAAGCCCCTCCAAATTCATCCAACAATGGTATAAATTTTCCAGCGACATTACATCTCATTATTGATAATATCCCGCATCATCTGTATTGGGATGAGTCCTTCAGTTCGAATTGCATCTTTATTTGGATCTGGACTGATGAAATACACAGTTGGCAATCCCCGAACCTGCACACACTTAGTAAACTGATTTAAAATTTCTAACACCATTAGTGGCAAAGCCAGGATTTTCATTAAGGGGTACCAATAAACAACGCTAACCTCTAGTGTTCGTTTTAGTTTAATGGAGTTTACAAAATTAAACTTCATTAAATAACTTGTATAACTTCTTTTTTTTCCCGTCTTGTGGACAAACATAACTTCTGTTGTGGTCAAAACAATGTTAATATTCTAGATTACAAGACAAACACAACTTCGGTTGTGGTCAAAACAATGTAAATATTCTAGATTTCAAGACAACCGAACATTTATGTGTTTAAGTTACTACAATTATCAAACATAGATTATCCTGGTATAACTTATTTCATGTCTTGTCCAAACTGTAACTTAGGACATATGCAAGGTTCAAAATCCAATATTCTCAAAAGTTTTGTAACATATTGATTGGATTCATTGCAAGAAAAGAACAAACTAGCAGGCATGTAAAACATTTAAGTTGAATAAATGTGACTAATCATCAAATAAGTAAAACTACATAGTCGAATCTCCAATGGTGTTCCCTTTTTCCTGAATTATCAAAATTTAGCTTTAGCAAATCATTTTTTTCTTTTGCTTCTTTGAATTAAATACTGAACTCATTGCCCCACATATTTCATCATCCTTATATATTGAAGATTCAACCTTCGGGGGTCGAATGACAAACAGATTTCGAAAACAAATTTCAACTTTGGACATTCTAAATAGGCACTAATATTTTTTACAATTTCAGTGGGGGTCAATTGATCACATTCTCTAAGATTTGGCTCCACCCATGAGCAATCTATCAGGCTATCACTACAATCACAAAATCACATTTCACATCCCATGGGTAATGTAGGAAAGAACATATGTTTCAAAGTTCCTTTCATCACACAGAAACATTTCCAAGGGGGAATATGGCTACAAACAGTATCAAGATGATATAGGTTTGTCACTTCACATCAAGATGAAGCACAGGAACAAAATCCTTTTGAGTGTTCAGAGAACTTCTTTCTCAAACAATGCATGCCATTATGGATAAAATTGGACTTGAAAAATGTTCCCAACAAATTGTATTCAATGTAACAAACAGAGCAAAAGATTAAATAAAAGCAAGTAATAATCAGCAGTGGAAATTACCTGCATATCGCGTGCAAATTCATATTCATCATCCGTGTCAACCTTCACAATTAATGCATTACTCTCATATTCTACCGCAAGCTGTGCAATGATTTGAAGGTTAGAAATAAAATCAAAGAGACAATGAACTCAATGTCAATGGCTTCAACAACATCAGAATCCCTTGCTATTGTGCATTTAAGAAAAAAACTTTTGTAGTCTACCTGGCTTCCTAAAAACCCAGTAAAGTAGGTTTTGCAAATTAAATGGTAAACATTATTCACTCATATGACATCACACCCAGCAAAAGATCATTACAAGCACAGTATTGAATCGTTAAGCAAGTATTCCTCCTGGGTTTACTTGGCCCCAACAATTAAGTAGTAGCTGCAAGGGAGTCATGGCACTTCACTAAAGTGAACTGAGTTTAAATACTGTCAAGAAGCTAAATTTAGTCTTCCTATGGAGGACGGACAAATTAATTGGTTAAGTGAAAGTTCTACCTATGGAGGATGGACAACTTAATTGGTTAGAAAGTGCTTTCACTTAAGTCAAATTCAATGCCAGCATAGATGATAAAGGTTTTCTTTTCCCATTAGTCATTTCCATCTTTCTTCATTCACCCAAAGTTGCTGATCTCAAAACCTCAACTTGCTCTCACGCTTGGCAGCCCAAGTTTTTACCATTGTTTGCAGCTTTTACCCAGTTTTTTTATTCCCAAGAGAAAAAGAAAAAAAAAGAATGCATCAATATACTTGTCTCATGACCTTTTCTCAGGACATCATTTTGATAACAACAAATGATGCCCGAGGAAAAGTAGGTTTGACAAAAGTCTCATCGAAACATACACTTCTATCTTGTATTTGAAGTGAAGCCATCAAACTGGTATTTCCTGTACAAAATACTGTTTGTCCAACTTGTGGGTTCTGTCCACGTCATTCAAGCAATTACTTCAATAATGTAGCTTAACATTGCAGTCATGGAGACACCTGACCCAGAATATCTAGGTCATTGACACACTTCTGGTCTCCTCTTACGTTGTTTTGAGACTAGCTACTTGATTTCTAGCCCATGGAGTTGGCATCACACAGCCACACAGCGCTTACAGTGAACGATTGAATATCTACTATAAAAACAACACCAATTTACATTAAACTCTTGCACAACAAAACAAAGAAAATAAGTGTGGGATACAGTTACACTATGGTGCATACCATCATGTGCTTCAAAGAGTAGTACTACCACTTGCTAATCTCTTTTTTTACAAAGGAAATCACTTTCTCTTCAATATTTTGCTCAAGATTAATCAGGCTGCTAACTCCATTTCTATTTCCCTGAAACTAGCATCCCCAAAAAACAAAAGAAAAGGCCAGTCCCATTTGATATTAAAGGTAATAGTTATCCTGTTCCTCAGGCTCAGGTTTAGTTTTACATATATTTCTTTTGACTGCAGCAAGACGCTAGCTACAGAAATAAATTTCTTTTATTTTTTCTGAATCTTATCTTAAATGGTTGTCATGAGAACTTTGTTCACTGAAAGAGAAAAAGATTCAAGGTATGACTGTTAAGAATCCATATAAACTTTTACAATAGACTAAGAAACAGCAGAACACAATTTTCAATGATGACGCAGTTTCCACTTTTTAAGCCCCGTTTTTATTGGCTACCTCAATAAAATAGATTGGTTGTCTGTTAGAGCTTGTCCCACATTGGTACAATCATACTCTTACATTGATATTGTAACGCCTCTCGAACTAACTTATGAGCCACTAGCCCTCTCCACTCACTACAAATTGATATTGAGTTAGATGATCTAACATCTCGTTGACTGATTTCACACTCACAACTTAAAAGCAAAGTAACAGCCAAACTTGACTTTAAAGATGACATTCATATTTCCTTTCCTACTACTATCCCCATTAGTAACAGACAGTTTCCATTATTTTCCCACCCAATAAGGACTATTTTCAAAACATTATACAATACCTGAATGCAAAATTCATCATCAGTTGCAACAGAATCTATTGTCCCTGCACAAGTATTGGGAAGGCTCTTTGCTACTACCAGCATTATGCTAGTTTTATTCTCAGGAGCTAAGTGATGCCCCTGTGACTCAGCCTATGATGAGAAGACGACAAACTGGGGACAGTACTCTAACGTCTTATCAATTTTCTTAGACTTATCTGAGTACGACGTACAATTGCTTTGCTGCAAGTAGCAGTAAGAAAAAGTATAGAGGTGTCAAGATTGCTGCGAATTGAGCCTGTCACTGAGGAAAACGTAGCAGCAATAAGATGGAATTTTCTTTTCAAACGACCAAGAATAAACAAAGCATCACCATCTGTGTAGAAAATTACATTCATCCACTCAAGTGAGGTAGATTGCAAACAGCTTCTAGCATACGGCTACAAAGAGCCATGTGACACGGATTATTACGTAATATTAAATCCTAAGGCGGATGGGCATGTTCATCCCTTGGAACTGCTTGGCTCTCTTCACAACACCACCATTAACTCAATGAAAGAAACATCTTCTCCATGGGTTCTTGAGGAAGAAGCCTATGATTTGATCATTAATCTCCAAACATTTTTATTTTGTATTCTATTGATTTCATCACAGAAACGAAGAATCATTGAATCATTGTTATTGCTTTAAGAGAATTCTTGTTCACAATCCATATTTACACTACAATGGTACTTCCATTAGCGGATACTTTTTCTTTCCATTGGTGACATATTTACCAATCGAAGTTTATTTTTCCCTTTAGACCATCATTGTTTATTCCAAATTTATGGCTAAAGATCTTGGTACCTAAGATTCCTTTTTTTTTTTTCCTGATAAGTGTCCTTAGCATTACTTCATACTGTTCAAAGGCCTTATATTCTTCAGAAGCATTGTTTCTCCCTCAGAAAGTAAGAAATGATCTTTTGGAAGGAGTGAAAGAGTTTCCTCTCTGGATCCAAGGAACCAATGTTTCACCAAGATATGTTAAACAAGTAAGCTTCCTGTAGTTCAAAATCATCTCAAAGATCTTACTCTCTTTTGAGGCTGTTAATAATTACCTCCTTTAGAAGCTTAGGCTAGTAAAGAGGGTAGAAACTTATGAATCCGTATCACAACCCAATGCCCTAACATGTGGCCATACTCCAAGTAATAGTGGGCCAAATCCAATTGTGTATTAAAATTTTCAGTGGTCAACAAGATTCAAACATAGGACCACTTTGTTCTTATACCATGTTAACACCTCGGCCTAAAATGCTAGAGAGGGAGGGTTCACATACATATCTATGCCATCAACAGAACAATTACATGACACTAAAATTAAACACTCACACTGATTGCTATCATCATTAAACCATCCATCAACATAAAGGTGCCTACAACTAATTAGAAGCATCGTTTTTTTTTTTTTGGAGACTTTAGTACTTTATGTGTGTTCAATGATGCAACCTATGCCAGTGCCTGGATACGCACCATTCAATCACCATTATCCAATTTCTTTCAGCTCCAATTTTACAGCCTTGGCGTATAAGAGATTGAAGCTTCTGAATCATTGCTTTGTGAAGTGTCCAGTAAGACCAGCAAAAGGGATCTAATTTCCAATTGCAATAGCTATGATAGTTCCCTCCAATAGCCACAGTAGTCTTTCTAAAAGGAAAAGATTGGGGAGGATTAGAGTTTTAAATTGAAATCTAGCTAATTTGGTAACTTATATAGAAGCAACCAAGCCTTGTTTGGTATAAATTTTATCCATGACAGACCATCTCTGGAGGTATTAGCAGATTAAATTTATCTAGCACACTGGGACATGCTCAATTATTGAAAAAGGGTTTCTTAATGATGTTTGTCCATTCAGGTGAAATAGATATATTTTGTCAAATAATTTATGTGCTGCAATGCATCCAGTAACAAAACCCAGCATAGTACTGGATAATAATATGAACACAGATTAAATTGCTCAAAGAGTTCTATGCAAAATCCAATCGTACCATTTCAAGTTCTTGAGCCATCAAAATACAAGGGCCGCACCATGTCGCATAGAAATCAATAATCAGTGGTACATTTCTCTCTCCCTTTACAAGCTCCTGGACCTCTGTGGCAGATAACTTCTTCTGCCAAACCAAAGCAACAAATAAACACACACAGAAAAAATCAAACTTCAAAACAGGAAGAAGGAAATAAAATAAAATAAAAAATAACATTGGGTCTTCATTCCTGCTGCTCTCTTTTCATCAATGTGAGTAATAGAACCTGATAACACAGATATGTTGATTTGTTTTTTTGGGTATTCAATATGAAATTAAGCTTCGAAACTTAGATATTGATTCTTCACCTAAATTTCTCAGCAACCAAACAGAGCCATGAATTGAATAAACCAAACTCCAAAACCAACAAATGGTACAGGAAACCAAAGTATCAAATTAAATTACATGAAATAAATTCTGATAGACGATAATGAAAGCATACATAGCTACACATACCACAAGATAGTCTTCTCTGACATATTTGCCTGAAGGGGGTCTGCAGAGCAGCCTTCTTGATGGTGGTGGTGTTGATAGCAAAGAGGGTCTTTTGATGGAGGTGGGGGTAGGGGAGAAGAGAAAGTTTGGTTGATGGGTATTGAAGGAGGAGAGAGAGGGGCAAAAAGGGGGTGTAGCCGCATAGAGTGAGAAGACTGCAGTTTGCATTATAGCTGCTACAGCTTTGGAGAGAGAGAGCGAGAGAGTGAGATTTTGAGCGGGTTTTGAAAGATTCTATAGGAATACTATATCCAATTATCCATCAACAATCTAAATGGGGTCTGTTTGGCTGATTTGGGAATCCATTTCCAATCAAGAACTAGGATATCCAAAAACCAGATAAGTTTTTCACCAGATTATTTCTGCAGCTTTTCTTGCTTTACTTTTCCATCTTTTGTGGAAGCTAATCTATACTATAATCTATACTGGATAGCAATGTAGTAGACCTCAAAGCGCTCCATCCAAACCTTCATCTCTCATTTTTAAATTTTTTATTTTTTAGATTTTTAAAAATCTTATGTGACACCTTTCTGTTAGTGCTCTGCCATTTAATCTTAATAAAGATATTCTAAATTCTTGAATTTTTGTTGATTTTAAATTTAATTATGTAAATTCTTACTTGTTATGATCTTACTCATCCATTCTTCAATCCTAATTTATGTATAACTAAGATTATTCCTCAAATTTGGAAATTTCCCCCAACCACGACATTCGCTCTATCCGTCCTAATATATTTATATACTAGTTATTGACTGTGCCTAAAGGAATGAAGTAATAAAAAAAATTGTTAATCATAAATATTTGTATTCATTTCTAAAATAAAATTACAAATATAGAAAAGAGAAAAAAATTTAAACATCGGTTCTAGTAGGGATGAACGGTGGTAGTAGTGGTGGGCGACAGTGATAATGGTGAGAGATGGTGATGGTTTATGGTGGGCGGTGACAATCGTGGTGGTAGTGACAATCGTGGGTGGCAACGGTGATGGTGAATGTTGGGTGACGATGTTGATAGTAACAGTCATGAGTGATGACAGTGATGATGATAAGCAATAATGATGATGGTTGACAATGGTGGTGGTGAGGCAATGACAATGGTGGTGGCGGTGACGATGGTGGTGGTGGGTGATGACGGGTGCTTGTGGGCAATTGTGGTTATGGGTGGTGGTGAATAACTGTGGTGGTGATGGTGTGAGGTGGGTGACAGTGGGTGGCAATGACCAATAGTGGTGATTGATGATGGTAAGTGTGATTGAGGTGGGTGACAGTGGACAACAGTGGTAGTGATCGACGATGGGTGTTGGTGGTGATGGTGGGATGACGACAACGGTGGTGGTGGTGAAATGTTTTATAGAGAAGTGATTTTAAAGAAATAGAAGTTATTTTTTCTTTTACTTTTATTTACTTATTTAAGTGGTAAAATTACTTTTAACTTGTTTGAAAATAATTAAAATAAGTTGTTTCAAAACTATTTTTTTTAAAAGTGTTTATGAAAAGTATAAGTCCTAGAAACACTTTTGAAAAGTCACCCCCAAACACATTAGAGAATCTATTTTTCTTATTAAATTTAGGGAGTTAATATTAGTCGTCGGATTAACTTTAAAATAAAATTTAAAACGATTTCAACCACGAAAAATAAAAGTCATATTTTATATCTTCAATGTTTGTACTTTATTATATAGATTAGGATTACAGTTTAAGTTTAGCTAAGTGTCCTTAATCATGCACTATTTCCATTCCTTTTAAAAATATTTTCTTAATTGACTAATAGATTTTTATGGTTGGAGTTCAAATTAATATTGATAATGCACAAAACATGCATATGCACAATAAACAGTCGAGTGTACGATTCAGAATAATTAATGAAACAATCAATAACAAAAGACAAATATTGAGTCAACACACAGATGTATAGTGATTCGGTTAGGGGTACCTACTTCACTTCCAAAGGCGGCAATGATGGTTAGAGATTTTTATTAATAAAGTTAGGTGAGAGAGAAAGAGATGCTCTGGGAGAGGTTGGTTAACTAGGAGAGAGAAATATTGTGTAGGGGGTGTAGAGGGCTTACAATTTATAGGCATAAAACCTTGATTAAGGCGGTGACGTGAGAGTAAATGTACTAATTCTTTGAATAGGATAGCTACAGCTAAGGATAAGTACAATTAAATACAACTTTGATTTTTGAGAGTGGCTATACCAATGATTGCTTTCCACATGCTCTAATATTTTTGGACTTCTCGAACTTTGGACTGGGTCAAATCCACCAGTTGAGCTCGACTGACCTTTTAGATGATTTGAGTTTATTTAATTTATTGAGCCTGACCCAACAAGATTTGGGCTTGTCAAATATTAAGCCGCATAACTTATATTTTGGATTATATTTTGGCTATGGATGCTACTGTCTATGCATAGAATGGACAGCAAACAGGGTTAGGGTTGGACCAATATTAAAAGAGCTCGATCGTTATAATTAGTGAGTTTATAGGTTTAGTTGATTATAAAAGAAAATTTTAAAATTTAATAGTTAATTAGGCTAGGGTTAGGGATGTCAGTGGATTGAAGCGAGGGCGGGGGGTATAGTCTCCATCCCCGTACTCGCTTAAAAAAATTTCGTCCATCCCTGGTCCATCCTTGTTAATGGGTATAATTTTCATCCCCATCTCCGTTCGCGGGTAAATTTTTAATTCTCGTCCCTGTCCTCGCTTCCCTCGTACCCACCCAAGCCTAAGCCCAAACTCAAGCTAACATAATCCAAAATTTTAAATAAATCCAAAATTTTAAATAGGGTTGTTTATTTGGTGTGTAAATTAATTTTATCAAATTTTTAATATATAAAAAGGTTCTCTGTGTTTTTAAAAAAATTGCATGCGATTCCTGTGTGGGCGTGAACTTATAGAAGTTGGATAGTTAGTGTATTTTCATTATCTATTTTGTCACCATCAGATGATTTCAACTTAAAATGTAGCTATTTATTTATTTATTTTTTTGCATTTGTTATTGAGGATTTTCTGGTATTTTCTATCAGTTTTGAATTTCAAATTTGTGAACCAAACAATTTTGAATATACTGATTGTTTATCTTAAACATTAATTTGGTAGGTACACAAATTAGATTGCAACAGTTAAGTTTTACATATAAATGTATGTTCATTATGATGTTAATTACATAGTTAATCGAAGAGTCATCTTAATGTATCTGTTTCCAAAGAAACACTAAATTCAACCGCTATTAGTAAATATATCTACAAACCAACATAAATTATTTTTGTAAACAAGTTATTTTTTTTAGTGTACCTATCTGACGATCTGTATTTATAAAGAAGAATGTATATTATGATGACGTCACTTTTTAGAATAGGTGTTTTAATTACATAATATCATTGTCGTTATTTTTACAATTTTAAAGGGTATTAGTTATGTTTATTGTTTTGACTTTTCAACAGGGACCTAATCCAAAAGTAAATTGACAAATGAATATTTTTTAGAAACCTGTTGGGCCTAAGTACCGACATCTAAAAAATTTAGAATTTAATTGATACAAGTGTCATAGTTTGAGGACTCCTACTGATTTACCATGCTTGATTTCAAATGATGGAAATTGGCAATAGCAGTCAAAGAAGTATTTAACATCCACAATAGGTAAGGAAATAAGTTATTAGTAGTTAAGATTGAGGTTTATGTACTCTAGCAAGGTATCATGTTCGATGAAGCTGTCATGATGTACAGTATCACTTGCTCGCTCCAGTTTGACACACAGAAAAACAGAATAAGTTGCTTGCTGCAATTTTCTAAATAAAAGAAAAAATTAGTTCCTGCCTTTTATTTTCTTGGTTCGATTGATTTAGAGCCAAGAAGCCAACCCCAAGTAATGTTTTCATTCTTAGGTTTCGATAAGGTCGCTATTCTTGACTTTAGGATGGAATAGAGTAGACCTTTACCTCTTTTTTTTTTAAATAATATCTTTACAACATTAAGATAAGAGATTCGAACTGGTACTCCCTCGAGATGGGGTTAACCATCTCGGTTAGACTCGTAGGTCTTTTTATCTTTCTAACTCTTGTACTTCTTGAGAGATTGAATTGTCTACGATCATCCTACATTCGCTTATCTTGATAAACTATTATAAACCTAAGTCTGTCTTAAACAACAGGAAGATGAAAATAGGTAGAGAGATTGATAGTACGATAGAAGAAAAGTCCGTAGAAATAAGTATCAGTTACAAAGGCATCACTTTTTCTTCAATCCGACAAGTACTCAGAACAACTATGCTAGTTATGCAGAGGGGGCCTTGAGTTGCATTACAGTTAAGCAATACTAGGTGAATCCTTGTAACATGCTTCCAGTTGTACGTATGCCTGTAATTGGTTCACTGGTGCTCTTGTTGGACATTATGTCATGTGATTGTCAGCACATATTATCAGTATTTCTAGAAATTCTATTTATGTTATTACATTTGATGATGATGGATTTAAGTCTGTGTTCTATTTTGAGCCCAAACCCGTCAATGGGCTCATCCAAGACAAACCATGCGGCTCTTCTGAATGACATTTTCCATATCCGGGTTGATCCACAACCCAGCCCATGAAAAGTCCAGGATCGTTCAACTCGGGACATATGTCCATCTAGTCCCATTAAGCTCGGGGATAAGTGCCTGCTCGGTAGATCAGGGCTCGACAACGAGTAGATTACAAATAACCCTAATCACATGTAACGCCCCAAATACCCCCTCGGACGGCATTACATTCTAAAACCTTTCACAATCATGAGAGCACTAAATAAATCCATAAATAAGAAATTTTTATCCATCAACCATTGATATTTTAACAAAATTCGGGCAGAGTCTCCTTTGTACGGGGAGCTCTACCACAAAATCCAACCTGTGCAATTCTACTATAATGACCACACCGGGTCCAATTAACTACTATATAATCAATCCATCAAATTTACATGTTAACCCAAAAAAAATATGCCCACAATGGCATGTACATTCCCAAAGAATTAAACTATGATAAGCAGCGGAATTTCAAAAGATAACTAGACTTTACAATCTTTCAAAAAAACATAGCCTAGTCTAGAACAAAATAGAAGGGCCGCTCTAGGCGTCCACCTCGGGATCTACGCTCCCGTCGATCGGAGTCTCCCAAAGAACGGGCTCCTCGACTCCTGGCT